TCTTCCCATTCGTCCCCAGGCTGCCCAGACCACCTCTGGAAGTGGAAAGTCCCATGCAAGGGAGCAGAAAGGCAGCTGGACCAGAGCTCAGTGCTTCCCTCTGAGCAGGATGTCCCTGCACACCCTGCCAGCCAAAGCGGTGCCACCTCCCTGCAGACTCAAGAGGTTACTCACATAACAGAAATAACGCTCCCCAGCAGACCTGCAAGGCTGCCAACCCTCCCTGTGAGTCAAAGCACACTGATGTGACCAGATATATATATCTCTCTATATCCAGTGCCAGTGACCCTCAAGCTTATCTCCAAGATGGGTTCTCAGCCCAGCCCTCCTGCCCAGCTCGCAACCACACCATGTACCAGCGTCAACCTCCCAGACAGAGATGCAGAACCCATTCTGACAGCATCCTCGCCCCACCCCCTGGGGACCAGCCCAAGGAAGCAACAATCCAGGAGACCCTGTGACATGGGCAGCCAGCCACCAAGAACAGCCACAACCAAGTGACACCAGTCAACACAAGGCCTTAGTATCGGAGGGGACTGGGGCAGTTGGCTGCTGTTCCTAAAAATGATGATTGCTCTAGGGACATGTCACCCAGGGATGGGCTACCAGGATGGAGAGCCCCAGCTGGCCCCCAGACCTCTCCTGTTTGCCCATGTCCCAGGTCCTCCCCCAGCCCCAAGGATCTGGGAAGGGCAGGAGGCTGGGCAGGGGACACCTGGCTGTCCCAATCCCCAGGCAGGGGGTGCTGCACCCCACATCATGCTGGGTCACCAGCCTAAGCTGAGGCAGCAGAGATCTCCTCTTGCTGGCAGTCCCAAGATCCCTGTGCAAGGGCCCAATTTCACAACAGCTTCCAGGCAGAGAGAAACTAAGCAGTTCAAGGAGCTATGCGGAGCCTGATCCCTGCGGATTGCAGGGCGCCAGATCTTGTGGGCACCATAAGCCAGGGAGCTATTACCTTCCCCAGGTTCTGGGCACAGGGCTGGGTGGCTCAGAGGATTGGTAGCAAAGAACAAAGCCTCTTATATATCTGCCAGCTCAACCCCTGCCCATGTCAGTGGCGATCAAATGTACACCCCTGGGTATTTCCCATGGTAGCAATGCTGGATCCAGGTGCCCTGGCAGCAGGCAAATGCTTTCCCCTTCACTTGCCTCATCTAGTCCCTGCTCTCTACCTGCATCCCAAGGGGGTGAGAGGGAGGGGTACACAGTCCTGGCCTTCATCAGGGTCAAGAGGCAGCTTGGGCATGGCTTTGGCAGACTGTCACCAAAAGGTGCTACCTTCAATCCGCCCTGCTGGTGCCACAGCAGAGATGCTCCTCCTGCCTGCACCAGTATAATCCCGACAGCCGTGGGAGCCCCGAGCTCTCAGCCAAGGCTGGCAGCAGTGAGGGACAAGGGGGATGCACGCTTACAGAGTCGGGATGGGGTCTTGCAAACCAGACCTGCAGAAGCCTGTGGTTGCAAGACCCCAGCCCCTGCTC